TGTATTAATTAATGGAAGGTTTAAGATAAGAATTCGACAAAAAATTCCATTAAATAAGGGGGGTAATGGATAAGCTCCCCCCTTCTTTTGGGGAGACCACTTGAGTCCCGTGAATCAATTGTCAAAAGCTTGAGAAAGTAGTAAAAATTCCATGAGACATCTTTTATAATAAATGACAAAAATGATTAGGTAAGGAAGATTCAACAACCTTATCGACCAAATTATTGTGCGGGCTCAAGTCATAGTTATGTGTGATGCAGGATCATAAATAATCACGAAATAGGATCTAATCAGGCCATTCACGAGCCGGCTAGTAATTTCACGAGTCAAGTCGTCCATGGTGCTAACCCCAATCATGACCCGAAAAGTGGCTCGACCATTTATCACCCCTATTTAGGGACGGATCGAGATCATTTTTCTTGTGGAGGTCAAAAATGAGATTTCTAAACAAAAAAAAAAAATTGTGGGGTCATTTGACCCCATGTGGGTCCGCCAGTGCCCCTATTATGGAGTGACCTGACTAGTTGACTACCTAACGCACAAGGTTCAATTTTGATATATTTTGATACATATTTTTTAATAAAGTCACAATTCTATACAATTTGGTCACAAATTATTTCTCGATCACAAATCAAAAATTTTATATCACAAATTATTTTATGGTCACTAATAAAAAAATTTATAGGTCACAATTTATTCGTTAGTCATAAATCAAAAATTTTGCATGTCACAATTTATATATCGATTACAAATCACAAATTTTATAAGTAGCAACTTATTTCACGGACACAAATTATCAAATTACTTGATCACAAGTGATTTCTCGATCACAACTTAATAAATTGTGAATCATGATCACATTTTTTAAATCACATATTATGTATTCGTCACAAATTAACTAATTTATTGATTACAATTAACCAAAATAATTGGCCACAAAACCCATCCATCCCACTCACAACCATTGTCGCCGTCGTCGTTGTCACAACACCACCACCAACCGAACATCAACATCGCCAATAACAACACCCAAACATAATTTCTCTCGAGTAGGCAACGCTAGGCGAACACCACCACCACAATTTGAAGTGGCGATGGATGATGCAGAATATAGAAACCTCTACTATTAATTTCTCATAATTCAAGTGTAGAATATAGAAACTTGTAATTTTATTAGGCTCCTATTTGATTTTACAAAAAATTTAATTTTTAATAAATTTTGATAAAAGTTAATAAGATTAATAATTAAAAAGTTAAAAAAATTGTGAATTTCTTAAAATATATGATAAAAAATGAATAAGATGATGTTCACTTTGTGTTTTAGTTTTGTGTTTTGAGTGTCCATTTTAAAATTGTTGAAAATGTTTTTTTTTTTTAGCATTTTGAAAAATTGTTTTCAAAAATAAAAAAACTCAAAACACGTTTACTTTCGATATTTCCCTTCCCTCCCCTCTCTCACTCGTTTCTCTCTCTTCTTCCCCTCTGTGTCGTCTCTCACACTGTCTTCCTCTCCCCTCCTTTTTTTTTCAAGCGGCGGCTGCTGCTGCGAACGGTGGGTTGGGTGCGATTTTGGGAACGGTGGTGGGGTTCTATTTTGGGAACAGTCACGCAGCGTCGCGATTTTGAGTGTTTCCGATTGTTGAGAACGGTGGGTTAGGTGCGTTGCTGAGACAATGCGATTTTGGGTTGGGTGCAGTTTTGGGTGTCTTCGATTTGGGTTGTATGCGATTTTGGGTTAGGTGCAGTGGCGATTCTGTTGCGATTTGGTGGTTGGTGGTGTTCTGCTGCAGTGGTGGTTTTGGTTTCAGGTAGCAGCAGTTGGTGCAAGCGACGATGGTGTGGTTGGGGTGACAAAGAAAATCGAAAACACTCAAAACGCATTTCGAAAATTTTAACTTGGTTTTAATTGAAAACACCAAAAACGACAAATTTGTCGTTTTTGGTTTTCTTTGTAAATTTTAAACTTATTTTCAAAAATGCGTTTTCGAAAATAGGAAAGAGAACACGTTTTCACCGTTTTGGAAAATCAAAAATAAAAAATGATTTGAAAACGGTAAAAAGAACAGACCCCTAATCTTTTGGAACTTGATTTTAAGAGTTGACCCATTAAAATAAATAGCATATCACTTTGCTAATGTTTGTGCCCCATATTTTGGGATATTAAATTTTGTAATAATGATTTTTTTTTCTTTTGGAGAATGCATTGTTAAAAAAATAGGAATATATTTTAAATTTATATATATAATTATTTTATTAAAAAAATGTATAATTAAAAATTTGTTTGAAAAAATACTCTCTCCGTCCCATTTATATAAACTTTTTTTTTTCTTCACACGGATTAAGAAATCTTATTCAATGTTATTGGAAAAACAATTGTTTGTCAAAACATTCATAGTTTACCCTCGTTTAATTATCAATAACTAGTAGTAAATTATTATTAGTAGTAAATCAATAAAAGTGAGCCTATATAATTTGACTATATAAAAGTAGTAAACGGACAAAACAACACGTTTTTAATAAAAAAAATGACTATATAATTTGGATAAGAAAATAAGAAAAGTGAGTTTATATAAATAAGACGGGGGAGTATAACATTAGGAAATGAGACTCAAACTTATGCTTAATACACATAGATGAGCTGGCATTCCGCGGTGTTCGTGTAAGCACATTTTTATTCAATTAATTTTTATTGTTTTTTTTCTAGATGTTGATGAGATTATGTTAATATTTTATTTAGTTAACTGCTAATTGTTGGAGGAATAATTGGGGAGTACTTAAATATTTCCTGTTTGAACCCAATTGGGTGATAATTTAATAATGTTATTAAACGATGTTGATGATTTAAGAACAATAAATGACACGTGGCTGAAAATGCAAGCAATTAATTACATTAAAATTTAGTCATTTAGAGCTTGTTCCATATAATTTTTTTGAAAATAGGTTTTTGGGATAATTTTTCGAAAAATGTGTAGTAAAAGAAATTATAATTTTTGTTCAAAATTATTTATCTGTAGAATATATGATTGAAAATGAAATTAAATGAAAAAAAAAATTGAGGGTCCATTTAAATGGTTTGTATTTCAATTTTGAGTTTTGAGTTCGTATATTTTTCTGGAGGGTTGTATTTAATTTTTTATTATTATTGCATTTTCTATTCATCATTGTCGAATTATTATTTTAGCGTGGGTTGGGAGAAAAATTGGTTGTGAAGTTGTTTTGCAACATCAATTATCATTTTGAGCATGTATCGGATGGTGGTGGCTTCTTTTTTGGAGAGAACCACAACCAAACAAGCTCTTTGCACAAGCAATTGGGGGTAGAAATTGCCATTTAAATAGGCTTATAACGAGTGAGTAGTTAATGTCTTAAAAAATTTACAATGCTGAAAAGGAGCACCAGTTCATGGTAGCTAGCCATGTCCAATAAAGTTAGAAAATGCTAGTCACCTTAGTCCACGGTCTCTAGATCGATCTTCATTTCCTTTGTTTGGCTTCTGCTTGAGTGGTTGGCTCCCTCTTCATGATCTAGCCTTTAAATAATTTCGATGATATTTGTCACACACACAACTTTCACAAGTAAGATCAGAATCAGTATAATTTGATTGTACATAAAGAAACCTCCGGGGCGTTTCATCGTCAAAAAAAGAGTCGTAGCATTTCGTGTTGATTTGTCTAGGGAATGTAAAACATGGCTTTCTCATCTATGGCAAGGAGAGTTTTCTCACCATACATGATTACTAGGAACAAAAGACCAACAAAAATTAGTTGTTTGATTATAACAAAGTCTGAATAGTCTCTCTTAAATCAAATTTGACACGTAACTGAATTGATAAGAATCTAAAATTATTTTGAATTGAAAAACTTATCACAAAAAAAAAAAAAATCAAAATCAAAGAAAAATAAAAATCAGGTCATTCAGTCCTTGTTTGATTTTGATTGTTTGAAAATCACTTCTGATTCACTCATTTTCAATCGCATATCCTCGACAAAAATATTTTTTCATGTCAAAAAAAAAAAAGAAATTTAGAAAAATCACTTCTCAAAAAATCTTTAACAACCAAGCCCTGAGTTACATTTAGACACGTTTAGAGTATCTCCAAGAGACTGTTTGAACATGAGATACTCTCTATTTTAAAAAGTCAACATTTAAAATCATGTTTCAAGAAACTCTTTAAATTAACATTTTAATTTAGAGAGTGGGTTTGACTCCCCGAATTTGTGAGAGCCAATAATTAAATGTATTCAAGATGTTTCAATTTTTAAATTAGAAAAATAATAAAATAATCTGAAGAAAAGGAGTTTTGCTACACAAACATAATATTCGGTATAGGGGATTACACAACACACACATGGGGGATGTCGACATTATTTAATTCAGGTCGGGACCCACATGCAATGTGAGAAGTCGATCAACCTCTATTTCTAGCATTTTGTTCATTTAGCTTAATTCAAAGAGAAGCTAGTTTAAATAAAAGACAAACAAAAATAATAAATATTTTTTCAGAGTAATAAAATTAAATGTTAAATACAAAGAGAATACTTAAAAATTTTAACTCTTTAAATTTATTGATATTATTTTAATGATAAAATATGCTCTTTCAAAATAAAGACTTTACTGGATATGCTTAATCACTTATGTATCAGATTCAAACAAGGCCTCATTGGATAAACATCAATTTCCTCGTCACCTTGTCGAAAAAAACAAGGTTGCATTTTTGGTGCTCCGGTGATGACTAAGCAGACTTGATCCAAATTTCTCTCATATAATTACGCATTATAGACTCTTATCATTTACTCTACTATCCCTTCTCTTTCTTCATTCTGGTCCCTTTAATTCAGAAATATCTTGGAATTTCAGGTCCCCTTTTTTCTTTTTCTTTTTGTCGTATGTTACTTTTCGATGAGTATTGGATTCTATATGTGAAAAATGCGACTTTGATAAGTGGGCTTCGTTTATTTACACTGAATTTTGTTGGGTTTTTTCCGCAGTGAAATTTAGCAATGGGCAGTGCTTCATCGATGTTGACTCAGTATGACATTGAAGAAGTTCAAGAACACTGTAATTATCTGTGTGAGTACCCTTTTACTTATTCCCAGAATCTCGGATTCTTGTTTTTATTTAATTTTCAATTTCTGCTGAACTGAATGTGTTTTTTTATTTTTTTGTAATCATGTAGTTACTCAGCAAGAAATAGTGTCTCTGTATAAGAGATTTTGCCAACTAGATAGGAATGCAAAGGGGTTCATATCAGCAGATGAGTTTTTATCAGTACCTGAGTTTGCAATGAATCCACTTTCTCAGGTGATTTTGAGCACGTGTAGTTAGTTTGAAAAAAAGTTCAATATCACTTACTTCGAAAGTAACTGTTTAATCTTCGGAAAACACGCTCTTTTGTCGTGGTTGTGATTCTGTTATTTGTATACATGTTTGAGAATTTTTTATTCATTTATTTTTTTGGGTGCTTATAGAGGCTTCTGAAGATGGTGGATGGATTGAATTTCAAGGACTTCGTTGCATTCTTGTCAGCTTTCAGTGCTAAAGCAACAGTGCCTCAGAAAATTGAGAGTAGGTCTATTAAGCCTCGTTTGTATTCGGAATTTAATGCATTCAAATTCTTCTGTTTCCCGGTCAATTATTCATTGCTACTAGTACTTTCATGTTGATTGATCTAGATGTTGAAAGATATAAGTTTGAATATTTAGATCTGTATAGTTTTGACGTAGTTTTTACAAAGTATTCTTTCTGCGATCTGGTTTAATTATAAAACCAATGAAATTCCATTTGTCGCGGAATGAGGATTCACTCTTAACTATAAGAAACCCTTATGATTACATCACCGAAGAGAGATGATTCATTTGTTGGAATTGGTTATGAAGAGAAATGTTAATCTATGGACTGGAATTCACAAATGCATAAGCATTTTCAGTTAATTTTGGTTACTGAAGCACTTTTTTTTGTGTCTTTTCCTTTACCTTTTCTTATATTTTGCACTATTCTTCCTTATTTCTTTTGTAAATCTTCTTAGCGAAGTTTATGTGCTTTATACTTCTGATATATTGACTTAAATTCCAATCTGTACTCCTAACGAATAAAAAGTAAATAATTTAGCATATGCTGTTCTCAGTACTTCATCAATTTCTTAACTTTGTAATGTGCTTTAATGTCTCAGTTATCTTCAAAATATACGACTCCGATTGCAATGGAAAGGTAACTTTTAATGACATAATACAAGTGCTCCATGATTTGACTGGCTCGTTCATGTCAGATAAGCAAAGAGAGGTATTACGATGCTCTGTTTTATTCTGCTATTTTCTTCTGTATAATGAATCCATTATTTCAGAATTTAACTTGGCAGTTTTAGATGCCAAATAATTTTTAATATATGGACCAAAATTACAAGATAAGATTCGGAAGAGATAAGATCATTTATAGGGCTTCTGCTATGCTTTAACTGATCCCTGCTAGATTATGGTCTGAGTAGTGGAACCATAAATGGTTGTAACTTGTAAACGATATGTTGGAGATATAATAAGTTAATAACCATGTTGAGTTGTGACTGTTGCTAGCGATTGCCTCAATATTTATACTCTTACATAGTATTTTGATAGTTAAATGATTAAATTGTAATAATGATGGTCTTCGAACAACAATGGAATGAGTTGTATAAATGTTTTGTTTATCTTTGTTTGTTGGCCTGCCAGTATAAATTGCTTTTAATTTTCTTTAGCTTTACATGACTTTTAAGAAATCTCTACTCTTACATCATAGTCCATATTTTCTTTATTGTTTTTTACACCCTTGCTTTTAATTCTGTGTTTTGCAGGAAGTATTAAATCAACTTTTGCACGAAGCTGGTTACACAAGGGAATCTTATCTTCTGTTAGATGACTTTGTTAAGGTTCGTCTGTCTTTGTTAACTTATGTATAGATTCATATGACACACGAGCATATTAGACTAAGCTTAAAAATAAATGTTGTTCCAAACATTACTCATAAGTGGAAAATAAAAACTTTAAATAACTTCTTATTTATAATTTTAACCAATAAAAAAATTATTAATTTTAATAGAAACTTATTTACTTATAAGTACATGTTTTGAGCTTATCAAACACACACACACTTTCAAGCTGCTTCCTTATTAAGTGGGGGACTTTGTACCTTTTTCGTTTCATCCTACATTTCATATGAAGACGACATACATTTCATTGTTGGCTCCTTTAAATTTTGGCTTTAAGAGACAAGTCCTGGCAGGCAAAAGTTTCTATACAACAATGTTGTATTATAAAAAGACAATAAACTAAAAAGTTAATGGCCAAAAGAGTTGATAAATTAATTAGCTAGATCAATGTGCATGTGGACGACAAAAACTCAATAAAAAATGTTCCAAAATTTCAGGAATGTGTAGCCGAAGGTTTCTCATCTGCCCCGAGCTTGCTTTCTTTAACAGCATCTAGAAGAAATATCAGAAAGTTGTCGCCTCTTCTGTCTTAAAATGCCATTCTACCCTAGTTTGGTCGATTGCATTGTAACAAAATAGTCCTTTAAGGGCATGTTTGATACGCAGTATTGAACTGGATTGGACATGATACTACAATAGACAAAATTTTGGCTTCTTTTTCTTCTTAAATACTATTGAGTAATGTAGAGCCCACCCCTGAAAGAAGTGCAAGTTGTGGAATGCTAGACTAGATATTTTTGACATGCCCAACTACATGTGTCTCGGTATAAAGTTGGATGAAGCTGCTTAACATTTCATTTCATTTAGTGTCGCTTTTTCTCATTTGCGTAATATTTATCGTTGTTAAACCCCTTTTTTCAGATATTAGACAACCAGGGTCTGAAAATGGAGGTGGATGTCCCGGATGACTAGCAAAGCCTGCTCTTCTCATCTCATCATTGATAGAAGATGAATGGAAGAGTATTCAGCCTTCCTCTTGTATATGTGAACTCGTGTACCTGTATTATTTTTCCTTATTTTCGTCTTTTTCTTAAGATTGGAAAAAGGAATATCTAGACGAACAATGGAAAATAAACCTTGTGTACTTAAATAAAGCTGTGCTTATTTTTGTCTGAGTTGTTTATAGTCTCTTATCAAGACACTACGGTGCATACTTTTCTCAGTTTTCAGACTTCTATGCACCAAAAAAGTGTCCCCTGAAGCCGATGCTCATAGTGATTTGTGGGATATGTAAAGTAATAACGTTTTTGCAATATCGAATCGTTGGAATTTAGTAACTTCAGATCTCAAGGGTGATAGGGTTTGAGGAAATGATGATCATTCTTCAATTTCATTCTCAAAATCCAGCAAATTAAGTTTTTCGTCATAATTTTTAGCCTTCGTTACTAGGCTCTTCTTTTTATCCGGTGGAAAACCTGAGCCGGGATGCCATACGGTCTGCACTGGCAGAGACATTACCTCATGCAGACATGAAGCCAAAGTTTGCTGCTAAACTTTGTAGGCGGAACTGATCTCTGCTAATTTCAGGGTTCAGTAGAAACAAACAGACTTCATTCATTAACCGCCTTGACCATGTAAATGCTAATTTTAGTACACAATTTATGTTACAAATATAATGGGACAAATCTTGCAGCAGCTAAACTCTCTCTCTCTCTCACACACACACGCGCGCACACACGCACATACCCACAAGTAGAAACTCATTTCTCTTGCAACCTAAGCAAACTGAATGAACTCACGTCAATTGCTTCTGCAGTTCTCTGTGGTAAGCAAAGACATCCACTTTTGTAGAGTGCTTGATTATTTGGGGAGATGGAAACTGCGATAACCATTTCGTCCAATCTGAGTTACGAGGCACTAGATTATGAAGAAAGAGAGTTTTTGGGCAAGAAAAGAACGTGGCATCAATATGCTGTCCAGGCTGGTACATCAAAAAACAATAAGAAATCATTAGAATTGAGTGCTTCAACTTCAAATCATGTGGTGACTGAAATTTCATCAGAGAGTTCATTTGAGGAGAGAAAACTGGTGGCTAATGCAGAGGAAATTAAGCGTCTAGATGAAAGATTGAGGATTCTTGAAGAAGAAGATGAAATGCTGAAGAAAGCTCTCATGGAAAGTTTGGAAGAAAGAACCAGGCTAATGACTAAGGTACATCAGTATTTTGATACTCTAGATCTTTGTATTGTACAAGGAGCACAAGAAATGGGAGAAATTTCAATGGATGGACATGGCATTAATATTATTAAGCCTCTTAAGGTAACGTCTTTCTATTTTTGCATAAAAGTTTTCTTTTTCACCAAAATAAGAAAAAATTGCCTGAATTATGCACGTATTATATTACCTTTACCCATTGGTTCTTTGCTGAACCATGTATCAGTTCCAGCAGTGCCAGATTACATAATATTTCCATCTGGTCTATCTAGAGGTGTTAAAAATATGCTGGTCGTCCTTACATTCGACTGTGCAAGGAAAGAGCAATAGACCGGATCAGCCTACAGAAATGAAACGGTCCCTTTAACCTGTAGAAATAAATTTAGAACTCCATTTCAAATTCAGGGAGGAGTTTGATAAGATCCTGCACCGGCGGCTGATTTCTACAGGAACAAATCACAGAATGCAAAGACCAGCACAAGATGATTTGATTGAAGACTTTATATTACTGTAATTGTTGGAAACTGTGGATACAATACGGTATTTAGATGTCAGAAATACAGTATCTACTGCTATGTAATGGTATTCAGCAACAATGAAATAAAAACAAAGGGTATTTGGACGTTCGAGAGGTCCAATTCTCTCCACTTGTTCCTTCTCAATCTTTTCTCCCTAATACATTCTACTCCTCCTCTATTTATAAGTATTTTGTAACTAAATCTAACAAAATTTGTTACTATTAACTGCTTCTCAATTCTTCTGGATCCTTCTGGATCTTGATAGGAGTCTATCAGAGTTCTTAAACCGTAGGCTGGGCAGCCTCAAAACATAGACATACGCTCGTGCTTACATGTGTAGCTCTTTCACAATCAATTAAACACTCTGGGATGAAAAGATAATGTGCCCTTTTGTGTTAGCATTGCCAGTGACTGCACACTGTCTAATTTTTGTACCCAATTTGAGGAGCTTGTTATTTCTGCCTTAATAATATTTTGATTTTTGATTGGGATGAATTACAGGACAGAAGGGTTGGTCTACTGCAAGTTTTGTTCCAAGAGTCAAATCCATCACTGGTCACCAGAGATTTAAGATCCAGAGCAGTAGGTTCGGGTTTCAGCTGAAGTTGTACACAAGTCCCCAATAATATGAACCTAAATAGTTCAATTGACATAATCATCAAACTAAGCCTATGTAATTTAAGTTATGAATTTAAGTTATATTTCATCACGAGATTTGAATCCAGCAGTTCAGCCGCTTATGTAATTTATTGCTTTGGTGTAATATTTATCAAACATCATAGGCATTTTCGAATCCTTTGTCTTTAGACAGTTAATTCAAAAGAAATTACAGTTTCAGAATTGCTAATGATAAAAGCAGAGGAGCTAAAACCCAAGAACATTAAAGATAAGCTCATTCGAACTGAATGCATTGCTGAAAATTCAAGTACATACGTAGTTAGCTCATTACGAACTGAACACGTTGCTCAAAATATTTGCACAACACAAATACATATTTGTCTAAAAACTTATAGATCACATCTCCCCTCGGTAACCTCCAGACCCGAAATAATCCCTCCTCGAGCTAGCAATTTGCATGCTCTTTTGATGCTCTAACTTGGGGCAATCACCGATACGATGACCAAGACCACCACAATAGACACAGCCTTTAACTCCACTTGCATTGGCTATTTCCTCCACGTCTTCCATTGGATCATTAAGCTCGGCCAGAACTGGAGGTATTCTCTGCTTTGCCTCTTGCAACAGGTGCTTCAGATCAAGGAGCGTTGTTTCGCTCTGGTTCTTATTAATAAAAGTCGTCGCAATTCCTGTTTTTCCACATCTTCCAGTTCTTCCTATCCTATGCACGTAATTTTCTATCTCGGCAGGCATGTCGTAATTTATAACATGTTGAATATCTGGGAAATCAAGACCTTTTGATGCCACATCTGTAGCAACTAAAACATCCTTCTTGCCAGATTTGAAAGATGAAATAGCATACTCTCTCTCTTCTTGATCCTTCCCTCCATGAATTGCCACAGCTTCGACTCCCTTCAGAAGAAGATATTCATGAATGTCGTCTACATCAGCTTTGTTCTCGCAAAATATTAGAACAGGAGGTGGGGTTTTTTGCAAGCATTCAAGAAGGTAAACAATTTTTGCCTCCTGTTTCACGTATTCAACTTCTTGAATGACGTCAAGATTTGCTGCCCCAGCCCTTCCCACATTCACAGTGATGGGTTTTACCAATGCGCTTCTAGCAAATTTCTGAATCTTTGTGGGCATGGTAGCCGAAAATAGAAGAGTTTGTCTTTGCGCTTTAAAGTGATCAAATACTTCTCTTATGTCATCTTCAAAACCCAGATCCACTAACCGATCTGCTTCATCAAGAGTTAAATATCTGCAGGGAAACCAAAACAAGGTAAATATCTACAGAAAAATAGGCCTTGCACGTTAGTAACATAGTCGATGATGGAGTAGATTAATTATTCATATGCCACCCCAAAAATATAAGCAGAGCAGACGGCAGCTCCACCCCCCGACGCAAAAAAATAAATAAATAATAAAAAATAATAATAATAATAATAAAAGCAAGCTCTTTTCCTTATGAGAGTTAACAAATTGGAAAACACATACAACCCAGTGTACCTTGTGAAACAAGGACCTAATTTCTCGAAAACTATCCTATCTAGTCTATTGATTTGCAAGTTTCAACAGAGTTACAATTCAAAGTAACTATATACATAATTTGGTACTTTAAAAATATTGAGAATTTTAATTAAGAGAATTTGCTCCACGGCCAACATGAACTTAATACAAAACATCAACTGCAATATCTAAAAATTACAGAATTTAACGTGTCAACAAAAATATGAAGTACTTACCGGCAATTATCAAGATTCATTTTCTTCTTTGCCAGCATATCCTTTAGCCTCCCAGGTGTAGCAACAACTATATGGACGCCTCTCTTCACAACATCTAACTGTGACTTCATATCAACACCACCAATACAAAGTAGTGGTCGTAGCTCAGGATAACCAAACTCTCTCATGGGTTCAAGAAACTGTTCCACAACCTCATACGTCTGCCTAGCAAGCTCTCTAGAGGGGCAAATAATCAAACCAAATGGTCCCTCACCAGGTGCGATTGGCATCATCACCTCCTCTTGCAATGCAATCATGATAAGCGGCAACACAAAAACTAAGGTCTTTCCAGATCCTGTGAAGGCAATGCCGATCATATCACGACCAGATAAGATAACAGGCAGCCCCTGCACTTGAATAGGTGTCGGCTGAACAATTCCTTTGGATTTTAAATTCTTTAAAACTGGCTCGGGAAATCGCATGTCCTTGAAATTCTTGATTGGAGGGGGAATATCTTCGCCGTCCACAATGATATGCCACTGCTTCCTAATGACATCACATGCCTTCTTCGACATCCTCCTTATCTGCAATGGTGGCTTCCAACCGGTCAATAAAGGCTCCGTATAAGTGATTCCTTTCGCCAGCTCCCAAACTGACATCAAAGTTTTCCTATCTGACAAATTTTCAATCATCTCCTTTTCCTGCTGTACCATTTGCTCAGTTTGGGTTACTTCTGGCTGCTCTTTCTTGAGTTGAGAAGCCTTCACCAATAAACTCGGTTTAGCCTCAAGAAGTTTCTGCTTTTCAATATCATCATCGAATGTGGTAGCCTGCCCTTTGCGCTGAAGAATTTTCTGGGCCTCAATTGCCCGACGCTTGGAAACTGGAACATACTCCACATAGTCATCATCTCCTTCCATCGTTTCCTGATAATTCAAATCCTAAAATAGTTCGGACAACTGTATCATTGGAAATTTCAAACTAAAACTCTCCTTAAAACTGCTGAAAATTAAAATTCAGTAGCTGCAGATTACAGCTGAATTCGAAGGCAAATCAAAGGTTCAATCTTGATATAAAGCAAACCCTCATCAGAAACCAAGCACCAGTCTCTCCATCACAAACAAAAACAAAGATTAAAAAAAAAATCCAATTAGAAAGGAATAAATTGGTGAAATTACTGGAAGCCCTATTAATTAGTTCGAGTATTAAATCAAACGCAATCCCTGAAAGAGTACAAATAACGAGCATAACGCACAAGTAAATCAAGAGAAGGAGAATCTTATAAGAGATTAGAGGAAAGAACAGCGAAATACATACCATATCTATAGGCGGCTACAGAAAAAGACGAAGCAAAAAAACGACGGCGGCGGCGGTGCCGGAGAAGGGTAAATTAAGCGGATCTCGGCGGTGCAACGACTGGGCTTTTCAAGGGTTCTTGTCACCGCATATTTTCTTTTATGATTTATCTGATTTTTAAATCATTTATTCTTTTTCCTACTTTCCCTCAAGTAGATTAAAAAAGGGCCGTTATTTTCGTACGGGTAATTCCGTAATTACCACTACAAATCATATCAAGTGCACCACAATATTAACATGATAATCATTATTTCCAAATTTTTAAATTTTCATATTCATTTCAATAATACATTTACGCAGTAAAATATTTTACACGCAAACCATCAAACGGGGGCTTAACTATATTACCCCAAATTTTTATTTGTTACACACAGTTTAAGTTCAATTAAGCTTATCGATCTGTATTCATTGTAACAATTATTTTCTTAATTTTCTTTGTCGAATATTTATCTTCAACATTTTGATGATGATTTATATTGAAATATATGCTTTGAAATGAGGAGGAAAAAAATTTGTACTTTTTTATTTATTTTTTAAAATATGACGGAAAAATAAATTGTTATATTATATTTTTAATAGACTTTTTAGACATAAACTGTTATTAAAGTGTGTTAACTAATTAAATTTTGGGTATAAGAATACTATGTAAAATCGTTAAGAGACAAATTCTATAATGATTAAAGATTGAGAATCTTAAGTTTAATTAAATAGTAATGTTATTTATGACCACTAGTATTTAACATCGATTTATGTGGTATCACTTGTGTCATAAATTATAGATTTAATTAAATACATGAATTTATAATTCATTTATTATGATCTATCACGTACTCACACATAGACTGGTACTCTGGCACCACCGCTACTAGATAACATTATTCTTGATTAAAATATAGTGAAACAAATAAAAATTGTGATGTGAATATAATTAGGGTAATTATATTATTACTACAAATTTTACTTATTACACCACGTTATAATCACAGTACAATTAAAATATTTTTTCTATAAATATATTATGACGAATTTATATTTATAATCCTAATCCAATAAAAACTAAAAATCATAATCCTTCTTCTCCTTTGGAGGATCATTATTATCCTTAGTATTTTTCTTATTATCCTTAAGTAAAATTATATAATTACCCTAAAATAAATTATTGTTTCACCATAAAATAAACCTAATTTTTTATTTTTTTCTACTTCTGACTGTACATAGCTTTTTCCGTCGATGGCGACTTTTGTTTTCTTCCACGACGGAAAGATAATTTTCTTTTCCTCATTGTAAATGAATTAACACACTATGATATTATTTCCATGATTTTTTATTTTTATTTTTTGGTTTCTTACTCTGATGATTTCCATGAATTATACATCATATCTAGTTATGGAATTGGATATCACAGTGTTATGGATAGCTACTTGGGTTTTAATTAGTGAGAATTAATTAGGATAAATTAAGGATTCGCCTTCTCCATCATATAGGTGAGGTTTAGTTTTACAAGAATAGATGCAACTATTGACACAACTTCAACTGAATTCTCAAAAATTGTTCTTAATCAACAAGAAGTAAGTTTTTATTGTTATATTGTATTTTTTGCATATGACCGTAATAAATTTAATTTTCTATAACTTATCATAATTTGTTTTTATTTGTTTAAATGTCAGGAAATGACAATGACTTCAACATACACGATTATACGTAGAAATTTACCACTCGCCAAGTATGAATAAGGCAAATATTTAATTTATGTGCACAATATTCAACTTTTCGTACAATTTTTTAAATATTGATGGGGTAGGTTTTTCATGGTCGAGATTCAATATCTAATTGGATTTGTACGATTGGGAAGGAACTTTGTTTAGTTATTGTTAATATATTCCGAGTGCGGTGGATATGGACACAAGCTTCGAATACGATATAGATGTGAGCGTTGTTGAAAATATAGAAAACATAAAGATCATAATCACCCAGTGACACAACATTCGGTAAGATTAACTAATGTAGAGGAGAATATTTTAATAGAAATGTCAAAAAGTTTGGTAAAACCTAGGAACATATTGCCGTTAATGTAGATTATAGATAAAATATGAAAAGAATAGCAACAAAACTAAATATATTGCAAAAATGTCTTGAAACATTCCTTGTAACATGTAAAATTATTTTGTCGTGTGAAAATCATACTTGGAACAACATTCATACGTTTTTAGGACAAATCAACACGAATTTTACAAGTTTAGTGACCAAAACTCGATCACTAAAAAGTATAGTGAACAATCAAAGACGTTTTTAAAGTACGGTGAGCAATCAAAAATACTTTATTTTACATGACAATTTGGCGTGTCATGAGTTACGTCACGTGAGCATTCTGTCATCCATGTTACCAATTTCATTATAGTTGAGAAACAAATGTCATGCCAGTGAGTAATGTTCAACATTCTGACAAATTTAGTGGACACAATTCAACATTTGAAACTTCAGTGAATCGTAAAAAACACAAACACAAGTTCAGTGATTATTGCGTCAATTAGCTTCCACACATTTCATTGGACCACAACTTCAATTCACTTTTTAATCACATATTTCATGAAATTCACCAACTTATAATCTCAAAAAGCTCTGTCAAATGGGTCCAACACCGTTTAGAGGAAGTTTTCTAATGAAACAACATTAACTAAATATGGGGCAATAGTTTATGATTGAAATTCAACAGTCATATAATCATCAATTCAGGAGTAATGTCTCTCTTTTTCTCACAAGTTCAGACACAACAATATTCTCTAGGCTAATAAACCCTCGAAAACATAAAATTACGAGGCTTCTAATTGCAAAACAAAGAAACCAAGGTTTTTCTCCCCCTCTGATGGTGGTTTATCTGTCATGCCATTCGCTTCATAGTAAACATGCCTTAAAGCCCTTCTCTATTTCCTCTTTGTCCAAGTTCTTTCCAATGAACACGATCTTGTTTATTCTGGGTTCGTCTGGTCGCCACAACCTGTCCGGCGAACCTTGGAAAATATCGTGCACTCCCTGTCACATTAAAACGACAGCTGATTAAACTGCAATCAAGACAATTTTGTGCAAGCGAACTGGTATATTTTGAGAATAAGCATGTTTAACATCCACATCAGCAGTAACTCGTGGTGATTGTAAAATGATTTAGAAGTAACAAATGATACTCAAAGATCAGTTAAGCACACAAATTGATTATAGTCCATGCCACAGCCCCCATACGATCAATTTAGTACTCAAATATTTTAGATACACAAGCCCTGTCATTTTAAAGGTAAAAGAAGAATAGGTCATTTGGCTAGGATCTCCTCGTCTAGATAAATACTAAATGAGCAGAAAGAATATGAGGGAATTTACAGTGTACGTGCTCACCCAAAGAGAAGCGAGAAACAATGGAAGAAAGGAAAATGAAGCTATTTGCTGCAAAAAAATTGCGTTCAAAACTCTCTCCAAAGAACATTATTTTTTTCATATTCTAGTAATTATATTTTAAGAGATGGATATTTCAATCTCTTGATTCTCATTTCTTCTCTTTAATGAAAAAATTTGTACTGGGAAAGTTGGGGGGGTCACAATATGATCATTTATTATTATTATTTTCACACAGTCTGAACAAAGTGTTTAAATAACAAAGAAGGGCTAAATGTCAAGCTTTGAAGAATTTTCAATCACCTGAAAGACGAATCTCTCGTTCATTCCATCAACTGATAGAAGACCTTTCATCCGATATATGTCTTCACTCCTTTCTATTAACAGTGTGCCTAGCCACATGTTTGCCTGAAATATGAAAAAGAATAAATTCTCAGCCAATAATATCATCTTTCCATCGAATATGCTGGACAAACAGTTTTCTATCTTAATCCAAAAAGACAGTCTTGATCGAGGACATAATTTCCATATTAGGTTGAACGATAATGACAATATTAAACAGGAGCAATGGAAAGCCAACCTTTTCGAGATCCAAGCTCCCTTCACAAACTATGCTGACTGACGAAACGCCAGGATCATGAGTATGATCGTGGGAATGGTGACTGTCATGATGTTCTGCAACAGATTTCAAAAGGATAATACCTTAACATCTTCCTATGCATAAATTGAAAGTCAAAACAGTGGGAAAAACGATCATAATGTCACTTATTGTACACAAGAGAGGCGGAGAGAAAGCAAGGGAGAGAATTGTTCTACAATATTTAGTCATTTTCTCTCATTATCTTATTTTTGTTCTCTCCGTCCTCATCTCACATATGGGGAACAGTGAGGGAGATCAGAATGCAATACCAATCAAGCATGGATTCACTTTTTCTTTTTTTTTTTTGGCAAAGGCAAACTTTAGTATCAGAACCAGGATAAAAACTTAGTTGTCAGCATATATTAATAAAGTCAATTGACAACTTGTCCTGTCCTCTACTACCAAGGAAAAATATTAAAAAACTGGAATTACCATGTTTGTGGTCATGTTCATGCTCATGATGATGGTGGTGACCATGATCATGATCGTGGCTGTGACCAGCATGATCTTCCTCCGATTGTTCAGCTTCAACAGCACTTTCAATTCTGCATGTATTAATTAAACTTTGACAAAATAGCACCTAAAAGCATACTTTTTAAAACTGGTGATAAACTCAGGTGCAAAAAATAAGTGTTCCATTGCGAAAAGTGTAATGTAAGACTAAAAAACCCTGAGATTTCTTATATCATGCCATTCTAATTGCAACAAGGATATGTACTAGTTTCTGTGTGAATAGGCAGCAAGAGAAGAAAGTCGAAAAGGAGTAATATATAAAAATATTTCTTTGAAAGGAAAGAAATGAACATGAAAAACATTCAAGACTAAGTATATACCCCCCGTTTGTCCACCATTCTCAGTTTTTTTCTAAAACTCATTTTCAACCACATATTCTCACAATAAGATATTTTGCACGTAAACCCATAACTTTTCCCCTATTTTTTAACCGCATTCTCCAAAAAATAACCATTCTAAAACTCATTTTCTCCAAATAGCTCTTTTTAATGGGCATCAAACAGGGGCATAATAGTATCACACAAGAAATGCTGCCATGTGTAACGAATCATTTCGGAAACTTTCCATCTCAAATAGCAGCAAAACTAGTACTTTGACTTTATGTGCATCCTTGGGGCAGGAAGATTGATAAACAGAAAAGGAGAAGAGAAGCAATTGGCACGAGAACAAGAAAGCATCAGTGAACATTATTGTAGGAACAATCAGAAGCTGTAGAGTAAAGTGAAGAGTGGGAGTAGATGTAGTAGAATATATGGAAATGTAAAAACAAGATTGCTCCATTGCCATTGGAGAGCTGTCATCATAATCTTCTATATCTATTTCTCGACAAGTGACAGACTCGTGTTATAAATAACTAAAGCTCTTTCATTTTTATAAAATCTTGAAGAAGTGTTCTCATGATGTTATATTTTAATGTGCTGAAGGGTTTTAGAATAATTCTCGACATGTCAAAGAACAAGATGGAAATTGCACCCACTACAGTTAAGAATCAAATAGTGATTAAAAGGATGACAATTTTAAGGTCTTGAATGATGCATTTAAACATCAATATGGAGATAAATCACAAGGAGACTTAGCATGATTGATTACATTGAAAGAGTAGAAATGGCTAAGAAGAAAATTAGAGATCAAAATCATAATATAGGACAGAAGTAAACCTTTCTAGATCAAAGCCTCCAATTCCGAGAACATAGTCTAAGTCAACATTTCCATACTTTGTTCGCTTCAATTGAGCCATACGATTTATGTTCTGCACTCCACCAAATAAAATTTAGGGAGGTGACTTGGAAACAAAAACAGGATAGGAAAAAACAGGTGCAAGGACAGATTAGGGAGAATTATGCAAAGAAATCTACCCTTATTCTCTCAACAAGTGAAGCAATCTCTGGTTCACCAACAAGATCAGTCTGCAATCACAATGGAAATCATCTAGTTAAACTTTAGAACGCCAAATATCTCACCGGAGGCAAGAGGCAGAACAACCTTCCAAGGTTTTCTTTACAAAACACGTCGCATAATTAGTAGAATATATGCCAGTAGGAATACAAATAGCGATTAAAGAGCAAGAAAAATGAATTGATTTTTCATTGTGGCCTCTTAGTTCCTATAGTGGCTGCATTATAAGATTCTTGAAGCAGAATAAGAATCCGGGTTAAAAAATAGAATTACAGATAAACTAGACATTGTCATAGTTTGCAGAGTTTTAATTTGATGGGGAAACACTTAATAAACCTATTACATGATATAAAGATAAAAATGTACCTTGTTTACTATAATGCGGTCAGCATAAGCAATTTGCTCTACTGCCTCATTAACTATTCCTTTAGGCTTAATCTCATCAAGGTGCAAACCAGCATGTTTAGCATCCACCAGTGTAACAACCCCATCAAGTTTAACATCATTAAAAACCTGATCCTCGGCATAAAATGTTTGAATGATTGGGGCTGGGTTAGCTAATCCTGGAAAGGCGAGGAAGAATATGATGTTATTGTAGCAAGAGGATGTCAAAATATCTATTGAATATAGCATCTGAAATTCTCATGTTCATCACTTTCTATCACACTTAAACTTTAGATATTCCAAACAATGTTTTGCAATCTTATCATTTTATTTCTTTATGACTAATATTTCTATTTTGCAAATAAAGAGCATTTCTACCTATATTTCATAAAGCTATTTTAGGGCAAGGACACCCTACGAACAACACCGAGTTGATTTCTTGTGCAAAATGATTTCCACAGCATAGAAATTTCTTAAACATCAACTAGGGTATTAATACCTATATTTAAGAAGTTTTGACTTGAAATTAAGGGTGTGAATATCCAAGGTTTTTAAAGATGATATAGGGTAGTAGTACTCGCCAGATGATCAACTTTAAATATGGGAAGGATGATAACTTATATTTAAAAGATAAATTTTCTTTTCGACGACAAAGTAGTAGAGAGTGATTCCAACCGAATAAGGGTAATAGTACTTTAAACTCACAAACATTTCTAGGACATCGGAGTTTAGGTTATTTATATCTTTAATTTACTTCAAGATGTAGGATGTAGACTCCCATAATTTATAAAAAGTACTTAATTGAAATAATTAAGCTACTTCGGGGGTGTCAGAGCTTTGCTTGGTATCTAAAGACAATTTCTAATTATACTACGCAATTATACAAAACAACTTATATAAGCAACTTAAACTTGCATAACTAATTAATTAAACATAGGACACATGCATGGCATAATTTTAACACACACAACTCATTATGAAATTTTGATATAGCCAATTCCAACTCAAATAATATTTTCTCATTTAACATTCTGTGGTAACATTCTTGGAACTCACAATTTTAACATAACATTACTTAAATGAAGAACTCACTTTTATCTCCCACTTTGGCTAATAGAAAACCACCCCATTAGAGTAGAAGAGCCATGAAAAATCTTGATTCAACATAGCAACAGCCTAGTGTAGGAAAACCATTTGCAATACCATGGTTTGGTGCTATGACATTCTCTACTTATAATAAAATATATGTAAATCATCACCTCATGCGTGACTTCAACAATTAATTTATGGAATTGTGCCACATTTTGGAGCTTAGCACACGGCCTCAGAGAGAAAACCATTTGCATTGCCATGTTTTGATAAAAGTGAATCCACTAACATTATCTAGGTGTCATCAAATAAAACATATCAATGATAAGTGGCAAACATAGATTTTATAACATGCAATACCAAACAAAAATACTTATTTGACCATGAGTAATTTAGAGCACGGTTTCCTAGGCAATTTTTGACATTCAAATTTCGTCTATAATTTTTTTTTTGTAATGGTCTTGACAAGTTCTTTCTAACGAATTGAATCGTATCAAATAAATCATCGTAGGACAATTATTGAGCTAAATGAATATTCTGACTAAATTACTAAACTAGGACTAGTATTTACTTTTAATTAAAAACCACACACAAACTAATTATTACCAAGTCAAGCACTAACACACAATAATAATATAAAACAAATCTTGGTGTACTTAAAACAGATAAGGTACTAATGCCCTATAAATAGGATACTACCCAACTTACACCTGGACTATGCAAAATAGTTTGTTGGATATTTCGGGGGCGTCATGGCACCACTAAAGCAGACACCACATTACTAAAATACTCACTGAAATATTTTCTTTTTTTTTTTATATACAGAAGGGTATGAGTACCATAACATAAGGATATAGAGATCGTGAAACATAAGTACTCGTACCCTGCAGAAGCAAATGGGTATGAATATCCTTAGTCATTGGTATTTAACACTGACAAGAATAGTAGTAAGGTCTTAAAATGTAAGTGTTATACTTTATGCCAAATTACAGGTGTGTAAATAATGGGCACGGACAATTTCTGTGAAAATGAAATCTTCTTTGTAACATTGTCTAGTTAGTCAAGTAGGCTATAAACGTTGCTAGAAAAGAATTATAATTGGATAGGCTCGTAAATAAAGTAAGTGCAGAATACATAAGCATAAATAGATAATACTTGTATTCATACAGTTACACTGCTAAGTGCTAAATCTGGTGTATTTAAAAGAGATTAATTTCAATGGAAAAAATATATTTATCAACCATTTTATACCTGTTGTTTCAATTACGAGATGATCGAATTTCCCTTTCTTCCTACTGACAAGGTCTGCAATCATCCTCACCAGATCACCCCTTACAGTACAACATAGACACCCATTGTTGAGCATAACAATGTCCTCAGCTCCAGCAGCTTTTTCTGCAACTAGAGAACCATCTATGTCGACTTCACCATACTGGAAAACAACAGGGCAGCATGAGATTATATATTATTATAAAACATTTGGATTTCAAAAATAACACATGCTCCAAATGAAAAATAAATTATCAGGTCAAGCTTACCCTTCTCAAAATATAAAAGAAGCAAAGAAAGAGAATTTGTTTCACAGAAAATCCAGTAATGTAACACCTAGAATAGATAATGAAAACCGATAACTATAAAAACTTCAATACTTACTAATCTCTACCCCATACCTCATTCTCAATAACTGCTATGCGTTTCCCGTGATCAGCAGTCAAGATGTGATTCAACAAGGTTGTCTGTGTACATGTAAAAGTACACATGAAGGTTAAAATATTAAAACTCCATTAGTCAAAACAAAGCAAATGTTATGTAGTAAGATGTAACAAGAAGAAATTCTGCATGTCATGCATAATTTTGGCATGCGGTAGTTGAAACAAAGCAATAGCAAACCATTGAGCGACTGAATTTTGCTTGTAATTGATTTGAACTTGGGATTTTCAGAAATAATGATAGGCACCGAACTTTGTCCAGAGAGCTGGTTATGAAGTTTGGCCTCATTGGAGAGGACTTTCCCTCGAGAATTAAGGAATTGTTTGAGCAAGAACCGGATATGATGTCAAGTTTCAGTTCTTTCTTTTTGATTACTTCCTTTGATGTGTAAGACCAAATCCAATTGACCTGCTACTTCTTATTCTGTACAAAGGAGTTTCAACTGCAGCTAGGTCTAGAGGAAATTTATGAGACCAATGGTTGTGCTGATATTTGGCAAGACACTCTCAGAATTTTCCTGCAGGGGTCACTGAGTTGTGAAGCCCCGCACCTCTTAATGGAACTATAGCCTAATCTACAACCTACCAGGTTGTGCTGACATTTAGCAAGAAACTGTCAGAATTTTCCTGTGGGGATCACTGAGTTGTGAACCCGCTTCTGGACTAGGGATGGCAACGGGACAGGACGGGACGGGGC